AAAAAATTTAATAATCTTAAGACTAAAAGCAAAATGTACCATAAAATGTTCATAACTTCAGGCTCAGGCTCAGGCTCGGCTGAAAAAGAAGTTCGAACTTTGTCAAGCTTGAGCTTTTAAGTGGGGAGCACAGACTTTTGCATAATGGATGATACATATAAGGCATAAGAAATTCAATTAGAGTTCATTATTTCATAAAAAAGAAAGAAATTTGAATATACATTTTCTTATGCTTTACGGAGTTTTTTAAACTCCGAATTTCTGTTTAGTTTAAAGCTTGATATGGCTTAAGATGTTTTGAATCGAAACAGTGCTACTGACGCGTATTACAATACGCGCGTTATATAAAACTTCTGATTAGAGAACTTTTAATAAAGTGTTTTTTAAAATATTGTAAAAAAAATAATAATTGTAAAAAAATATATTCATTATATATATTAGGTGTACAACTTTGCTTCCGCCGTTTTTTTTCCGAAATTCGAGGCTTTTTGTAAAAAACTGGTTATACATTTATGATTCAAAGTATTGTCCATCGCTGGCCACTACTTTCTCCCATCTTTCGGGTAGCGTACAAATCCCGCGTCGAAAAAACTGATCATCTTTTGAGGCTATTCACGATCCAATTTTTTCTTCTTCTAAGACCGGTCAGTCAGGCCGTGTATCATTGATCGAAACAAGTGATAGTCAGAGGGAGCAACGTCTGGAGAATACGGCGGGTGGGGTAGGACTTCCCATTTCAACGTTTCCAAGTATGTCTTGACCACTTTCGCAACATGGGGTCGAGCATTGTCATGCTGCAAAATCACTTTATCGTGTCTCTCGTTGTATTGCGGCCGTTTGTTTTTCAATGCTCGGCTCAAACGCATCAATTGCGTTCGATACCGATCGCCTGTGATTGTTTCAGTCGGTTTTAACAGTTCATAATACACTACGCCGAGCTGGTCCCACCAAATACAGAGCATGACCTTGGACGTCAAAATCACCGTTCTTGAAGCGTTGAAACCACTCACGACACGTTCTTTCACTAATAGCGACTTCATCATAAGTATTTGAGAGCATTCGATGAGCTTCAGCCGCAGATTTCTTCATATTGAAGCAAAAAATTAAAACCTCCCGCAAATGACGAGAATTTGGCTCGTAAACTGACATTTTCAATCGAGAATAATTTTATGATGCAGACACAAATCGACTAATGTTTGTATGGGATTATGTTGACAGATGCTCAAGTTTATTGTATGACGTCTATGATTATGATATTTATTTCGACCATCACTTACCGCTAAAGCCATGTATAGGAAAAGGCGGAAGCAAAGTTGTATAATAATATTCATTATATAATAATAAAATAATATTTGTTACTAATATTGCATAATAAAAACAAAATTATAATTATTTAGTTCAAAATTTATTGGTATAAATTAACAATTAAAATAATACATATATTAAAGAAAAGTTTTTCTGATATTATAAGCATCTTCTAGACTGGTATTATTTTTGTATTTATTACATTAAAATGCGATGTTTAAAATAATTTATAATTTTTTCATATTTTTTTTACTTTTAAGAATATGTAATACATTTTTTAATATTTTTCCAGCTTGTCTTTCTGTTGAAGAAATGATCACAACTATAAACTTCTTACATTGTAAAAGTATCTCAGTTTCTTTTCTTTTCAATAATTTCTACATTTTCGTATATTTATCTAATATAATAGTTGGATGTGTAATCTTATTTTATTGCTTGAAGTTGCTAAAAGATGGAAAGATAGAAAGATGGATTTAAAAAAAGTTTACTATAATGAATAACGAATAATATTTCAAAATATACTTTTTGTATAAAAAATGTTCGGCTCATTTTTCAATTTTATTATCTGAAAATATTTATATTTTTAAATATTAGATTTTAAATAAAGTTATCTTAATTTTCAAATACAAAATTGTTTAGTTATCTAGCATATATCAAAATATTTTGAGATAATAGAAGAAAATTACAAACCGCAGTACTTTTGATTGCTTAACATGAAGATTCATCAAAAAGCAATTGAAGAAGATTTCTTTCAAAAATTGGTTCTTTGTTTTTTTCGTCTATTGTATTCTTATATACTTTTAAAGAAGTATATTAAGTTTTTTTATTAATTGTTTGTCACATCATGTCTTTTCCATTTTTCTTCAATAAAATGCTTTCAACAGCAAAAATGCTTCTTCGCACATCATAAAAAATTCAAGAAGAATTTAGAAAAACAATACTTGTTTCGAAATCCTTTTGTTCCAGAATCCTTTTGCGCTTTGTAGAAAGTAAGTAAGACGAAGATGTTTTTCCTATATTAAGAAATTTTTCGTTTTTTTATGACGCAAAAATATTTTCAGATAATATAAATAATATACTAGACGAGATATACGCGTATAATTTAAAAGGGCTTTTTCCATATTAGTTTCTCGATTATATTACTTTATTAACTCTACTTCAGACTAATTCAATTTTTATTAATTGCTCTTGCATTTCTGATAAAATATGTTAACCGGTAATATTTTTGCAATGTCAAGAAATTATGTTGTTGTAGAATTTACATTATCTTCAGTTCCCAATTAGATTCTAATACAACTTGCTATAAATAAATAATATGATATGAATAATAATAATAATAATAGTAATAATAATAAAAGATCATTAATCTTTGCACACATGTGTCTCAAGATGGACATACAATAACGTTCCAAACTTTTATAATATTGTTACATCCGTATCGATAAGAATAGGAAACAATCAGAACGGCATGACACGTGCGAATGGAGTCACAAAACTAGCGTAGAGAAAGATAAAGATTGAAGAATATTTCTTTGGATGAAGGAAGCAGGAGGAAACAGTCAAAGGCGCGTCTCAAATTGAGCAGCAAATCAAAAAACGATTGTCCATACTCAAATTCTCAACTCGAATTAACAGAATTTTAAAGAAAATTAATTTATTAGTTATTTTTTATGGCAAGAGAAACAGTAAAGATGAAGTTGTTGGATTAGTATTAGTTGGATTAGAATTGTGTTTAATCCTTAAAAACACTTCGATCGTTTTGTAAAGTAAATGCCACATCTAGGGTGGCATACCCAACCCAATTTTGATTGCTCAGAATGAGTATACATAAAAATCATTTAGAGCATACATAAAAATGAACATATTTTAATAAATTTTTTTTTTCAATTGAAACAGACAATAAGGAATATAATGATAGCAAGCAAATGTACGTATCCTTAAGAGTACATTCTAGTGTAAAATTTTCAAAAAATCGATATAAAATAAAATCGAATATTTTTTACATATTTCGATTACAACATTTTAAGAATACACTGCCAAAATTTCAAAAAGAAATTCAAAGAATTAAGGATTTTATAGCCAAAAGTCTATTTTTTGTCTTCAAAATTTCAGAAAGAAATTCGAAAAATTAACGATTTTACGGCCAAAAATTCTTTCTTTACAATCAAATGTTTGAGGTAATTACTTTATGGACCAGGAATCGCTAATTAACAGTAAATTTAATTATTATTTTATTTTTAAAAAAATCTGTAAAATAAACTTTAAACGCATTTTTCTTAAAACGTTGGTTTTTTGGATGGTTGACACAATTTCGGAAAAGCTAACCAATTTAAAAAATTCTTATGACGTTGTATTCATAGATTAACTAGCTATCGCGTAAACTAGAATAAACCGGTTTCACTAAAAATTAAATATTTTATTAAATATTTTCAACTTTTTTGAGCGAAAAAAAAGCGTTTCTTCACTTTCTAAAAACATATATCAACTCGCAAATTTTCAATAATTCTAATTTACGCAATAGCCATGCAAATAAACTTTAAGAAAAAATTTTGTTTTTTTATTCCTGGCAATTGATTCTCGAGATGTCGTGTCAACCGTTTGGTCACCTTATTTTTTCAACTTTGCCTCTCACTAATTTCTTGGAATTTTGGAATGAAAATATTGCTGTAAAAATTTATTTCATATATTGATATGTGTATTAATAAATATGTGAAAAACTAGATCCGTATGTCTAAGTATATTTTCTTTAGAAAAAATTCCAAAAATTTTTAATGTAGTTACGTGAGAATGTACCTTTAATAAAAAAGTAATAAGTTATAAAATAAATGATAGTTCCGGAAAAAAATACATTTTATTTTAAAAAAATTTTTTCGTACATAAGTTACAAAAATATTTTTAATATTTTTTTGGAAAGTAGAAATTTCAAACTTTCAAAAAATTGCATTATTGTATTTTAAAAGAAAACAATTATTTAAAAGAACGAAATTAAGAAAATTTTAAATTTATTTTGGAAATAAAACATATTTTCCCCGTTATGGAATAATAAATTAAATAAAAAATAAACCTAATGTAAGTGCAGAATGTTTATTATAATTATAAGTAATTATATTGCATAAATAGTTTTATATATTAAGTGTACAACTTTGCTTCCGCCGTTTTTTTTCCGAAATTTGAGGCTTTATTGTAAAAAACTGGTTATACATTTATGATTCAAAGTATTGTCCATCGCAGGCCACTACTTTCTCCCATCTTTCGGGTAGCGTACGAATCCCGCGTCGAAAAAACTGGTCATCTTTTGAGGCTATCCACGAATCGATTTTTTACTTCTTCATAAGACTGGAAGTGCTGGTCAGCCAGGCCGTGTGTCATTGATCGAAAC